TTAAAAATCTCGAGTGAATTCGTCCAATTTTAAATTACAATTAGACCACTACGATCTATTATCTTTCACTCAATGATCAATTATCTTTCAACACAGAATAAGACGAAAAAGATACGACAGCATGTAACGGACCCCAATTTCGGAATTCTCCAATTATCGACGACAAACTGTCGCCTCTAAATCATCCGAATCTTCTCTGAAGAAATTTCTGAACCGGTAAGTACGAGCCAGCGGAAACACTCTGTACATAACCGAAACTCCCGCATCAAGTAAAACCTAACCAAACAGCAAGAAGATCCAGCAGGTTAGCAGCGTAACGCAACAAGAAAGCAAACAGAAACTAAACAGAAACAAACACGTGAATCCGCGCAGTTCAGCGGTCGATCATCTAGATCTGCGTCGAAGTAGCATAGATTTCCCTGGCCGCCGCTAGAGTTCGCGAGTTGTAGTCAGATGGAAGGGGAGTGGGGGGAGAGGACTCTGCGATACTTTACTCCCCTGTGGAAGAAATACGACGTGGTTATAGACCGCGTGCCTTTTGACGGCAGCAGCCAGGGGAATCTGAGAAAATAAGGGCTCGAAACTTTCGGTTCAGAGTTGCGGTGAATACATTCTGGCTTCACGAAAACCAGGATGCTGCGAGAAGTTTTCTCTGCCGCTAAATCAACCGGTGTTTGAAACTTTAATGCAGGGCTTGGCTGTGTGTCGTAAGAGTTGTTTATATTTTTAACTCCGATTCAATCGTTTTTGGCAAACTGACGACGAGTTAGGAACCACGATTTGATTATCATGCGATGTTTCAAACAATGGATCCTTCACGATCAAATTCACTTTTCGCGAAAATCATATAAAATGGGAAAGCAAAGACTGTTCTTTCTCGAAAATATTACAAATGAAACATCGAATTCTCTTAAAAAGTTCTTTCACGATTGTTGAACGTATCATATGACGCTTTTCCCTAAAGTCGTTTTGTCAAACAAATAAGGCACGCGCTTATTGAAATCAACATGGCGGTAGAAACCTGTGACTATACCGGATGCGAGTTCCAAACAGTTATCTACGTTACAACGAACTGTCTAAATTGTAACAAATCATCCAAACTCTAACAAACTACCAAAATTTCAACGAATCGTCTAAATCATCCGCGTGTACTCGTGAGAATTTCATCTTTCGTAAGAGAAGTACTCGATCAGTGTCAAGTAAAGTTCCAACAAAACAAGAGGACGGCGTAGGGATCGAGTTGCTCGAAAAGGGACAACCTAACCTAACCTAACCTTGTCGTCGGTTGAGAACTCGCCAACTCTAACGAAGCGTTCGCTTCGATTAATCAAATAGAGAAAGAGAGAGAGAGAGAGAGGGGGGGGAGAGTTGAACCGACCAGGCAAGATCGTAGCACTCGGAGAGCGGCATCATCTCGCCGTCCCAGACCATCAGCGTGGTGGAGCAGTCTTCGTCGCCGCTCGACAAGCTGGTGCCCACGTGGAACTTGAGGATCGACAACCAGACGCGGAACTGCGGCTGTGATGGCCGCGGCGCTGGTCTCCTCCACACGGTGCCCGGTCGCTGTTCCGGGAACTTGGGCAGAGGGCGCGGCGGTGTCGGACTCGGAAGAGCTGGCCCAGCGCCTCGTAGATGGTACAGGCACGTGCTGTTACGTGGCAAGGAATGACGGGGCGACGCCAACACTCCGCCACCGCTGCCCTGCAGCCAGAACTCGCAGTGCTTGTTCTTCGCGTACGTCGGCGAGTCCGCGTCCACGAATTTCACCTACAAGTCAAATTTCGCGTTTCCTTTTTTCTTTTTTCTTTGTGGCAAACTCACAGCGAGGAGGCAAGATCGTGGTTTAGGTTAGGTTACCAATCCTAACCTAAACCATGACGTAGACATTCGGACATTGAACGTCGAAATTGACTTTGATAAAAATGATAAAAATTGTAAGTTAGAAGATAGAGTAACTAAGTTGGAACTCTCTACGTTTGGAAACACATCTAGATATGTTGCACATATGCTAGAAAGTACTGCAAACTGTCGTGGTAAAGGCATTGAAGAAATTGTCGCAATAGATTCGAAGATTGAATTCTCGAAAAAAACGTGACGTTTTCGCGAATATTCAAAGTTCGATAAAATGGCGGGAAAAGATCCTACAACGAATTTTCCGTGTTTGTTATAAAGAAGAGGCTCCGATCTTCAAATCCATTGCAGAGATTCAGCCGTGAGAAAGTTTTTCACATACCGTGACAACTTGTAGTATTTTCTGAGAAGAAAAGAGAAAATAAACAGGCGACGATACGCGTTTCAATATTCATTACTCGGCAGCAGAAGAGATTCGTCGAGCTCGTTGGCGGAAGAAAGAAATTAAAAAGCAAAGGGAGAGAGAGAGAGAGAGAGAGAATAAGAAGAATCCTCTTTCTAAAATTCATTATCCCTCGTTGGCTCGTCGTTCCCGTAGAAAATTGTGGTAACGGCGGCTGTTCCGGCTATCCATTTAAATGCGATCCCCGTGAATTATGGGAGATGGAGTGAAGAGAGGGGGAGGGCGGGGCGCTAGTTCGCCACCGTCAGGTGTAAAGCACGCTGTTCCGGCCCCGTGAATGTTTGAACAGAATTACCACGTACTTGCACTTCTAATTGAAAGCCGTGGAGCGAGTGTGGCGGCGTTGGGTGAAGGAACGTGCCGTAAGGAGACGTGGTGAACTCGACTAGGATCTCGGTCCCGCTGCTCGTGGCTTCCGGCACCGGTTCTCCGCCGCCGCAGAATTTCAGGATCACCGGGTCCCGGGTCGTGTAACCATCGTACACCGTCACGTAGTCCTGCGGGCACGAATCCTTTTTATTTCTGACACTGTTACTTTTTATCTTCATTTTTATCCATTTTTTTTATTCTCCATCTTTCGCCCTTATCTGTTGCCCGTGCTTTTGTTTTCTATATTTTGTTCTTTGCAATGTTTCATTACGCAAAGATAAATTTATTACACTTACTTTCATAATATTTCATATCATATTTTATTTCTAGTATTCATACTCGATGAGCAACGAAGGCAGACTTGAACCAGTTATTCTGTAATACTTATTTAGATATGTGTGCACAACCTAACCTAAACCAGTAGTAATTTACGAATTTGAAGACGCTGATGCTTCAAGGCCAAAAGTCAGTGTTCTTTCTTTTTTTACGAATTATGTTATTTGTTGGTGAAATTTTGAGAAATTTTGTTGCAAAATCTTTATTAACGATTGATTGAAGATAATGATAAATATTGAAGATAATGATAAATATTATGTCGATGATATATTTTCTCTCTTTTTTTTAAGTTGAACATATGCAATGTTTCAAAAATCAGTGTCAAAAGTACATAACCTTAAAACTACCAAAATTTGATGGCAAAAGAATCGCTTTGAGAAACGAGATGTTTTTTTACAGTTTCAATTATTTATTACCATTAAACAGAGAGTTTATTATTTTCTACAGCATCCTAGAAGAATCGCAGTAACGAAGAATATTTTAAAAAATCAGTTTTTGAAAAATCGACGTCAGAGGTACATAACCTCACAAAATACCAAAATTTAAGGGTTCAGTTGTTTATTACCATTAAATGCCAACAACAACTCTAAGTTTATCATTTTCTACAGCGTCCTAGAAGAATCGCAGTAACAAAGAATATTTTAAAAAATCAGTTTTTGAAAAATCGACGTCAGAGGTACATAACCTCACAAAATACCAAAATTTAAAAGTTCAGTTGTTTATTACCATTAAATGCCAACAAGAACTCTAAGTTTATCATTTTCTACAGCGTCTCGGAAAAATCGCAGTAACAAAGAATATTTTTAAAAAATCAATGTCAAAGGTACATAACCTCTTAAACTATCAAAATCTGACAA